GCACCGACACCATCATCAGTTGCAGGGGAGCGGGGGCAGGGGGCAGGGGGCAGGGACCCTCTAGGGGTGTTACTCAAAGCTCTCCCCCCAAGGTCTCTTCCCAGCCACCGCTTTATTTCACCCCCACTCCCTCCGGGTGCCCACTGTCAACAACTGAGGAAGAACTCAGGAACCGCTCCCAGCGGGACCTCGAAGGTTAAAGTTCTGCCGGTTCCCAATGGGAGGGGCTTGCGGGTCACCAGTCAGGTGACCAGGTCGCACTGAGGCAGGTGTATTCCCTTTAGGAACCTCAATTTCCTCACCTGTAAAATGGGATGAGTACCTAGCCGAAGGCTGGCAGACCCCAGAAATTGGTGGCAGAGAGGGGGGAAAGCGGCATGGGTGCCAGATGGAAAGACGTGCCCAGGAGCCCACAGCCCCCTCCCGCCCCCCTTTCCATGCCTCTCCATCCTCTTATAAAACCACTTATGCTCCCAGGAGCCCTGGAGCAGGATGTTTATTGCTCACTCTGGGACTTTTCTCCTCCACCACCCGCACCCACCAGCCCAAACCCATGAAAACACCCAGGTTTTTATGGGCCGTCTCCTGGCTGTAAATGAAACTAATTATATGGTGCGAGCTCCTGTTTGCAATTCCGGAGACATGACTTTCCCACAGGCTCTGGGAGACCTCGGAGAAGTGCTGAGCGGGGAAGGGCAGACCCCAGGGGCGCGGGGAGGGTGGCTCACGGACCTCCAACAGGGGCTGGCTGCTCCCACCATGGCAGGAAGGCCAGAAGTCCGACACCTGGGAGAACGTCCTGACCAAGCACCGCGGGCCATTCTGACCGAAACAGCTAAGGGTGCTGAAAACGCAGCGCTGCTTTCCCCACACCTATAGGTCTCAAAGTGTGCTCCCAGGGAAGCACTTGGATCACCCGGGAAGGAGGCACTTACTAAAAAGGCAGGATCCCGGGCCTAACTCCAGACTCACCGACCTTGAAGTTCTCCAGGTGGGGCAGGGAGTCTACATTTTATAGAGTCCCAAAGACCCTGACGTATGGTTTAAGAATCAGGGGGTTATGTGAGCACTCGGAGGGTTCCGACAGAGACCTAGTCCTCTGGGCTCCAGGACAGGCCTGGTACACAGTAGGTCCTCAAGGAGTACCTACTGAATGAATGAGTGGCTGCTTTGGGGGACACGGAGCCAGCTCCCCGGGCCACCCTGAGCCCCTCTCCCAAATCGGTGTAGTTAATCTGACAGGGTGGGAGCGGAGGTTGTTCCCGAGACCCACCTGGGAACAAAAACCCTGGGCTGGGAGGCAAGAGGCCAAATTCTAGTCCCAGACTTCATCAAAGCCTTGAGCAGGTCCTGTCCTGTCTTTGGGTCTCAGTTTCTTTATATGTAAAATGGGAAGCTTTGGTGAGACACTCCTGAGCCACCCACCCCAGCTCCGTCCTCTTTCAACACAAAAGAGACCCCGATACCTTCCCTGCCTCATTTGCTAACCAGAGACACAAAAGATGAGAATCACAGACCCGCTGATGCCTGTGGCCTTTGTAGACCACCCCAAGCCTGTTCCTGCCTCAGCCTCAGTCTCCCTCTTGCCATTCCCATCGACTCTCATCATGGGGGTAGGGAGACACGTGACGGGGGCTACCTCTCCTCTGAGGTCTCTCAAGCCCAACCCGGTCCTGGGAAATTCAAAGGCCACACCTCCCCTGCCTACTGTGTGCTGGCCTGGCCACAAAGAGTGAGAGAGGGCTCCTGGAGCCTCGCATGTGAATGATCCGTGGCCTCAGCAAACAGTCCGTCGGCACAAGCCCACGCTGAGGGCACGAAGAGACCATAAGCCCCATCAGCCTGTGCCTCCGTCACAGAAAGCTGTATTGTGTCACCCCAGACACGGGACAGGGCGTTTTCCTGGGGCACAACGTCCCCTACTTCCTTAGTTCCTCAAAAGACGTGTAGAACCACTAGTCTAGCTAGACCCTCGAGCAACTCCAAGATAGTGTGGTGGACGCTTGATCTGAGAAAAGGTGGCCGCCGTGGGACCGCAGGAGAACAAGCAGCCAGCTCCTTGGGAGGGAGCAGAGTGGGGTAGGGAAGGGACACTGGAGCCTAAACCCCGACCCCATCGGGGAAAGTACTGAGTTCTGAGACCAGCTCACTGCCTCCCACCGGGACTCACGGCATGTGTAGACACAACCCTCAGGGTAAAAAAAGTGCTCTAAGATCCCCATTCATTTCATTTATTTGAAATCAAGAAGGAGGCAGTGGTGGTGAGTCACACAGGCCTGAGCTCTGAGCACCACCGAGCTGGTGGGAGGAGGAGGGAGCATGGAATGACTTCCTGCCTTTATTCAGGCCTTTCAAAACACAGCACACATGCACACACACACATACACACAGCCTCCCTCCATCCAAGATAGCCCTGTCCCTGCTCGTGGGAAAGGAATTGGCCAAGGAGCACCCCGGGCTATTTCGGGAAGCTTCTAAGAACATGTGTTTCCTGTAAGCACTTCACCTTGCCCTCAGCTCTGCTCACCCACAAGAGAATCTGTGCTGTCCCTGGTGGGAGCCCCTGGAGGGGCAAAGGGGCTGGTCCAGGAGGGGGCCCAGGAACCCTGGCATTTGCCCACAGGCTTCAGGCAGAAAGCAAGGGGGTGGAGGAGAGAGGAGAGTGATGTGGATTAAGCCCCTACGGGGTGCCATGTGCTGTCACCTGAACTGCACCCATGCAATCTGTACAGCAGGGAAATGCAAACCAAGGCCCAAAGATGGACCCTAATTTGACCAAGGTCCCCTGCGAGGAAGCGGCAGATGTGGGGCCTGAAGCCAAAGTGTGACTGCACAGCCCGAGCTTGGGACCCTGCCGCTGGCTGGCAACAAAAATCTCCTGGGACCCGTCTCCTCTCTCCTCGTCTCCAGGCCTCCCCCCGGCCAGCTCTGTCCCTGTCTGATTCCCCGTCCCCTGGGATGGGCCGTGGCCTGGTTGAAGAAGCTTTGACCAGCCATCAGAAGCCCAGCTGAGCGGTCTTCAAAGCCCCTGGAGAATATTCCTGCTCAGGCCCAGATCCCAGAACTTCTGTGACCCCGAACTGTGGGAGGCCCAGATTGACCCCTCCGTGTGATTCCCAAAACCTCCCATCCCCAGGGCCCATTCCGGCCCTGACCTTGGACCCTCTACGAGCTGGGCTATTGGGACCTAATGCTATTTTTGGAGGCACAAAAGGCTAAGAGGATAATATCTTCTCCCCGGCGGGGCAGGAAGAGGTGTCCGAGCCAAGGCCATGCCGGGAAAGTTCCCCGATGTTGGAGGGGAAAGCAGAGCTCCCACAGGGCGGCCTGACACAGGGCTGTGCCCTGAGCCAGGGCCGGGGCAACTGGCACTTCTTGTCAGGCTGGACTGCAGGCCCAGAGTCAACCACCTGAGGAGACGTGAAGTCCAAGGGCTCTGCCCGTTTCTTTTCGGCATCCTGGGCAGGAATGCTGCCCCTTCCTGGCTGTGTGACCTTAGGCAAGCTACATAACCTGGCAGCCTCGGTTTCTGCACCTACTAAATGGGGGAAGTAGTAACATCTACTCACAAGGCAATCAGGAAATTCAAGGAGACACCAGCTGTGAAGACAAGCCTTTCTTTCCCCCAGATTCTCAGCTACAGACCCTGTGCCCTGAAGTGGGCCACATAACCTCTCTGAACCTCAGTTTCTCCATGAACGACCTCCGTGGTCCCTGAGCTCTGGGCCCTGACTGGCCAGGGCTGGAATCCTGCCGCTCCCCTAGTGGCCATGGGACCCTGGGCAAGTCACTGCCGTTCTCTGCACCCCCTTTTCTCACGTGTCTGGCGGGAACATGGACAAGACCCACCTGCCGAGCTAGCATGCACACGGATTCAAAGTGCTCAGGCTCACAGCTGGCGCATAGTCAGCCCTCGATAAACACTGCTCTTATTACAATTACTATTATTTTCCCATTCTGGAAAAAAAAGATGCAGGAAGACGGGGGGGGGGG